GAATATTTTGAGGAATTGTTAAATGTTGATGAAGATAGGGAAGCTGTGATTTCGTGTATAGGGCAAGGAGGAATAACATCTTGTAGGAGTGAGGAAGAACCAGTTGTGAGTGTGGGGAAAGTTCGTGAGGCAGTAGGTAAAATGAAAGGGGGTAAGGCAGCCGGGATTGATGGGATAAAGATAGAAATGTTAAAAGCAGGTGGGGATATAGTTTTGGAGTGGTTGGTGCAATTATTTAATAAATGTATGGAAGAGGGTAAGGTACCTAGGCATTGGCAGAGAGCATGCATAGTTCCTTTGTATAAAGGCAAAGGGGATAAAAGAGAGTGCAAAAATTATAGGGGGATAAGTCTGTTGAGTGTACCTGGTAAAGTGTATGGTAGAGTTATAATTGAAAGAATTAAGAGTAAGACGGAGAATAGGATAGCAGATGAACAAGGAGGCTTTAGGAAAGGTAGGGGGTGTGTGGACCAGGTGTTTACAGTGAAACATATAAGTGAACAGTATTTAGATAAGGCTAAAGAGGTCTTTGTGGCATTTATGGATTTGGAAAAGGCGTATGACAGGGTGGATAGGGGGGCAATGTGGCAGATGTTGCAAGTGTATGGTGTAGGAGGTAGGTTACTGAAAGCAGTGAAGAGTTTTTATGAGGATAGTGAGGCTCAAGTTAGAGTATGTAGAAAAGAGGGAAATTTTTTCCCAGTAAAAGTAGGCCTTAGACAAGGATGTGTGATGTCACCGTGGTTGTTTAATATATTTATAGATGGGGTTGTAAGAGAAGTAAATGCGAGGGTCTTGGCAAGAGGCGTGGAGTTAAAAGATAAAGAATCACACACAAAGTGGGAGTTGTCACAGCTGCTCTTTGCTGATGACACTGTGCTCTTGGAGATTCTGAAGAGAAGCTGCAGAGATTGGTGGATGAATTTGGTAGGGTGTGCAAAAGAAGAAAATTAAAGGTGATTACAGGAAAGAGTAAGGTTATGAGGATAACAAAAAGATTAGGTGATGAAAGATTGAATATCAGATTGGAGGGAGAGAGTATGGAGGAGGTGAACGTATTCAGATATTTGGGAGTGGACGTGTCAGCGGATGGGTCTATGAAAGATGAGGTGAATCATAGAATTGATGAGGGAAAAAGAGTGAGTGGTGCACTTAGGAGTCTGTGGAGACAAAGAACTTTGTCCTTGGAGGCAAAGAGGGGAATGTATGAGAGTATAGTTTTACCAACGCTCTTATATGGGTGTGAAGCATGGGTGATGAATGTTGCAGCGAGGAGAAGGCTGGAGGCAGTGGAGATGTCATGTCTGAGGGCAATGTGTGGTGTGAATATAATGCAGAGAATTCGTAGTTTGGAAGTTAGGAGGAGGTGCGTAATTACCAAAACTGTTGTCCAGAGGGCTGAGGAAGGGTTGTTGAGGTGGTTCGGACATGTAGAGAGAATGGAGCGAAACAGAATAACTTCAAGAGTGTATCAGTCTGTAGTGGAAGGAAGGCGGGGTAGGGGTCGGCCTAGGAAGGGTTGGAGGGAGGGGGTAAAGGAGGTTTTGTGTGCGAGGGGCTTGGACTTCCAGCAGGCATGCGTGAGCGTGTTTGATAGGAGTAAATGGAGACAAATGGTTTTTAATACTTGACGTGCTGTTGGAGTGTGAGCAAAGTAACATTTATGAAGGGATTCAGGGAAACCGGCAGGCCGGACTTGAGTCCTGGAGATGGGAAGTACAGTGCCTGCACTCTGAAGGAGGGGTGTTAATGTTGCAGTTTAAAAACTGTAGTGTAAAGCACCCTTCTGGCAAGACAGTGATGGAGTGAATGATGGTGAAAGTTTTTCTTTTTCGGGCCACCCTGCCTTGGTGGGAATCGGCCAGTGTGATAATAAAAAAATAATAATAAAAAATTAAGGAAACCCCAAGTATAATATTAAATGGATATAAATTCATTCTATATAAGTCAATATCGAAATCACCTTGGTCATAACAGTACCCCACTGTTTTGTCTTCCCAGTGTCCCTTCAGCCTCCTCTGTAAATACTTCTGTGTGTATGTGTGTGTGTGTGTACTCACCTAATTGTGGTTGCAGGGGTCGAGACTCGGCTCCTGGCCCTGCCTCTTCACTGATCGCTACTAGCTCTAGCTCTCTCTCTAGCTCTCTCTCTCTCTCTCTCTCTCTCTAGCTCTAGCTCTAGCTCTAGCTCTCTCTCTCTCTCTCTCTCTCTCTCTCTCTCTCTCTCTCTCTCTCCTCTCTCTCTCTCTCTCTCTCTCTCTCTCCTCTCTCTCTCTCTCTCTCTCTCTCTGCTTCCTGAGCTTTCTTATACCTTGCCTTAAGGCTATGTATGGTTCCTGCCTCCACTACAGCACTTGCTAGGCTATTCCACTTCCTGACGACTCTATGACTGAAGGAATACTTCCTAATATCCCTGTTACTCGTCTGAGTCTTCAACTTCCAATTGTGACCCCTTGTTTCTGTGTCCCCTCTCTGGAACATCCTGTCTCTGTCCACCTTATCTATTCCACGCAGTACTTTGTATGTCGTTATCAAGTCACACCTTGACCAGGTGTGAGTTCCAAACTGGTGCTGTATACTCCAGTATGGGCCTGACGTACACAGTGTACAGTGTCTTGAACGATTACTTACTAAGGTATCGGAATGCTATTCTCAGGTTTGCCAGGTGGCCATATGCTGCAGTAGTTATCTGATTGATGTGTGCCTCCGGAGACGTGCTCGGTGCTATGGTCACCCCATGATCTTTCTCCTTGAGTGAGGTTTGCAGCCTTTGCCCACCTAGCCTATACTCTGTGGTCTTCTTTGCCCTTCCCCAATCTTTATGACTTTGCATTTGGAAGGGTTGAATTCAAGGAGCCAGTTGCTGGACCACGTGTCCAGGTCTCTCAGTAGTCCTGCCTGATCCTCATCTGATTTAATTCTTCTCATTAACTTCACATCATCTGTGAACAGGAACACTTCAGAGTCTATCCCTTCCATCATGTCATTCACATATATAAAAAATAGCACTGGTCCTATCACTGACTCCTGTTGGACCCCACTAGTCACAGGCACCAACTGTGATACCTCTTCACGTACCATGACTCGTTGTTGCCTCCCTGTCAGGTGTTCTCTGATCCACCGCAGTGCCCTTCCTGTTATACACACCTGATCCAGCTTCTGCACTAATGTGAGGAACTGTGTCGAAGGCCTTCCTTTAGTCCAGGAAGATGCAATCAACCCACCCCTCTCTCTCTCTCGTGTCTTACTTCTGTTACCTCGTCATAAAACACCAGAAGGTTTGTCACACAGGATTTGCCTTCCATGAATCCATGCTGGTTGTCGTTTATAATTTTGTTCCGTTCCAGGTGCTCCACCACTCGCCTCCTGATAATCTTCTCCGTGACTTTGCTTACTATACACGTTAGTGAAACAGGTCTGTAGTTTAATGCCCTATGCCTGTGTCATTTTAAAAAAAATTGGGACTACATTTGCCATCTTCCATACCTCAGTTTCAATGGATGTGTTAAGATCTTTGTTAATGGCAGAAACACCATCTCTGCTCCCTCTCTAAGGACCCACGGAGAGATGTCTGCTTTCATCGCCTTTGAGGTATCATGTTTACATAGAAGCTCCTGTACTTCCTCCTCGGTTATGTATACCTCATCCAGCACTTGTTTGTGTACCTCCCTGTTCAAGTTTTACCTGTTTCCACTGTAAATACTTCTTTAAATCTTATGTTGAGCTCCTCACATACCTCTTGGTCGTTTCTTGTGAACTCCCCACCATCCTTCTTCAGCCTGATAACCTGCTCCTTGACTGTTGTTTTCCTCCTGATGTGGCTATACAACAGCTTCGGGACAGACTTAACTCTCAATGCTATGTCATTTTCGTATTGTAGTTGAGCTTCCCTTCTTATCTGTGAATATTCGTTTCTGGCTCTAACATGTTGATGCATGAGGTTTTCCAGTACCACATCCATCATGGCTCTCCTTGTTTTGGGACCCCCATGGGGCTTGAGGTTTTCCCAATCTCCTTGTGATTGAAATCACCCATAGCTAGTAACTTCGCTCCTCCCCATGCGAGCTCTTCTGGCCACATCGGCTAGTGTGTCAACCATTACTCTGTTGCTCTCGTCGTATTCTTCTTTTGGCCTCCTGCAGTTCTGTGGTGGGTTGTACATTACTGCAATTACCACCTTATGGCCCTCAGACTGGATTGTTCTTACTTTCCCAAATTCCATCCATTCCATCCATTTCCTCAAATACCCACCGGTTTTAATGAGCAGTGCAACGTCTCCTCCCCCTCTCCTCCCTCTATCTTTCCTGAGGATTTGATATCCAGTTGGGAAGATTGCATCTGTTATCTTCCTGGTGATTTTCGTTTCTATGAGTGCTATCATGTCTGGGGATGTCTTCTTGATTCTTTCATGGCACTCCTCGCACTTACTTGTTATTCTGTCTGCATTTGTATATCAAACCTTCAACTTTTCTAAAACTGTGGTCTGAGGGTTCCGTTGGGGTTGGGAAAGTGGGAGATCTTATAAGGAACTGTGAGTGGTTGCTGTGAAGGCGGAGTTTGTAATGAGGTGGGTGGGGGAATTGGATATGGCATGTGTTTTTTTTTTGGGGGGGTTAGAATGTTTGGTTTTACCCCCTGGACCTCTATAACTTCATATTGAAGGGAAATACACCTGTTGAATATACTAGGTAAAGAGTTTGGTAGAATAATTATGGAAAGAATGTAGAGTATGACGACTGCCTGAAGCATCGCATTATGGAACTTGAGGGAATTTCAAGTCCCGGTGAGAGGCACGTCTGTGTGATCCTTCAAGTATAATTAAATGAGAGATCTAATCATGTGTACTTATAAGCCTCAACAGTATATATGTATGAAAATATATATTGTTACCATGTTAGTGGTATTCGAACCTACTATTTTATATCACTAAAAATATGTGAAGGATATGGTAATAATATTAAAGCTGTGGTAAACTAATGTAGCAAATTAAAAGAACTAACCTGTATGTCCACCTTCTGAGCTAGTTTCAGGAGAGCCAGGTCATGGTATGCCTGTGGAAACGTATAGTCAGGGTACAAAATAGTTTCAGCCACCTCAAAGTCCATAGGTTCTGCACTGTCATTGTTGTTGTTGTAGTCGTGTTCACCCAGACGCACAATGTTTGCCTCTCTGAAAAATTAGCATCAATCAGTGACTCGCAGAATTTGTTCCATAAACATGGAGCATGTTGTGAGTCCAAGAGAAGAGAGTGGTGAATCAGTGTAAAAGGAAAGTGAATGAGAGAGTATACCTGGAGCGGGTTTAGGGGGGGCAACGTCCCCGTGGCTTGGTCCGAGACCAGGTCCTTTGTACATATTTTAGTGAGTATAAGAAAAAGGTCTTGGAGTGAGATAAGTTGAAAAAGCCCAAGGAACGAAAGAATTTAACCATTAAAAAAAAGAGAGTTGTTAGATGAAGAGATGAAAGTATAAGAAAGATAGAGGGAGGTATCGACTTTATGTAGTGGCCAGGAAAGTATGACATACTTTAGGAGTGAGGAAGAGCCAGATATGAGTGTGGGAGAGGTGCACGATGCAGTTGATAAAATAAAACGAGGTAAAGATGCTGGGATTGAATGGATCGAGACAGAAATAATAACAGAGGGTAAAGATATAGAATTTGAATGGCTTGTGCTTTTGTTCAATAAATGAATGAAAGAGGGAAAGGTATCTATGGACTGGCAGAAAGTGTACATAGTGTTAGCGCAAAGGAAAAGAAAGATCAAGAATTATAAGGCGTATGCAGGCTACTGCCTAATTGTGATAAATTATATTATAAAGTGTTTATTGTGTGAGAAAAAGTGGTCTATAATTTTGTAAATCATATCGGCTTTTTGTGGACGTTTTTAGTGAGTGGTCGCACCTTACATGATGAGATCATCTGGGACACATGGCAAGTGAGGATGCAGATAAGTAGTGTTCGGTGTTTTTTGCTCAAGCAGTAGGTTATGTTTGAGTGCTGTTTTGCACTTATGTGGGTCCTGGACCTATTGTTCGAGTGGGGGCTGTGTGAGGTGCAGATATACATAAATAATAGCGTATTTATCTGCTGGCTGGAAGCCGACCTTGGAGTATGGCGGCACACTGGCGTCATTAACTAATAATTTCTAGCGTATTAACTATGGTTTTGTAACATGTGCTGATGGCATTCTCAGTGTATCTATACCGCTTGTACAATATATATGTTTATTTTCGTAAAGGACAGTTTCACTGGCCTTTCTGAAGGACCAAACCTAAGATGATTAAGAAATAAGTGTTAACCACCTGTTTAGCACTCTGAGTTTACGAGTCTCTGGCCATACGGTGGTTTATTTTAATAATTTTCTGTTTACCTCAACGCAAGTGTTTTACCTCCTGGACCTCTATAACTTCGTATCAAAGGGAAATACACCTGCTGAATATACTATGTAAAGAGTTTGGTAGAATAATTATTGAAAGAACGTAGAGTAAGTAGGAGAGCAGGATCGTAGATGACCAAGGAAGTTGAGGGAAGGGCCATGTGTTTGCACTGAATCATGTAAGGAAGTTTTCTTTCTATTTATGAGTTTAGACAAGGCATATATAAGGGTGAAGAGGGGAGCAATGTGGCAAATATATGGAAAAGATGGTAGGTTACTTAAAGCAGCTAAGAAATTTTATGAGGATAATGAGGCTCAGCTGAGGCTATGTATGAGCGAGGAAAATTATATACCAGCAAATGTAGACCATAGACACAGATGCATGATGTCATAATGGTTAGTAACATATTTATAGATGGAGTTGTAAATGAAGTAAATGTTAAGTTGTTGGGGAGTGATGTGGGATAAAAAGATAAATAATCTAATACAAAGTGAGAGTTTTCACAGCTGCTTCTCACTGATGACATGGAACTTTTTGGAAGATTCTGATGAGAAGTTTCAAAGGTCGATGGAAGAATTTGGGAAGGTATGTAAAAGAAGGAAATTAAACGTGAACATATGAAAGATCAAGGAGATGATGGTAACACAAAATTTAGGTGATGAAAGATTAGATACCAGATTGTGTTCATATAATCAGCGTTAACTTGTCAGTAAATGAGTTAATGAAAGACGAGGTGAATCATAGAAATGATGAGACAAAGAACGTTGTCCATGGAAGCAAAAAGGGGAATGTCTGAGAGTACGATGTACTACCAGTTTTTTATAGGTGTGAAACATGGGTTTTGAATGATGTCACCAGGAGTAGACTGGAGGCAGTGGAGACATCGTGTCTGAGGGCAATATGTGGTGTGAATATTATGCAGAAAATTTATTGTATTGAAATTGGAAGGAGGCATGGAGTTATTGTAAATATTTTCCAGGAGGGATGAGGAAAATTGTTGAGGTGGATTGGACATTTAAAGAGGGTGGGGGAAAAGAAGATGACTTATGGTGAAGGGAAGGATGAAGGAGGATGTGCATATGTGGAGCTTCGACATCCAACAAGCATGTGTATGCGATCGTGTTAGATAGGAGTGGAGGCAAGTGGTTTTAATGACCTGTTTTCCCTGGACACTCAGGGAAAACAGCTGAACTTGAGTCCTGGAAGTGGAAAGTACTGTGGCTGCACTCTGAAGAAGGGGTAGGGATTTTGAAATTTGAAGTCACCTGAACTATAGTATTGGCGTGTCTCCGGCAAGAAAGTGATTGAGTGATTGTGAAATTGTTTCTTCTTTTTCAGGGTCACTCTAGCGTGGTGGGAGATGGCTGTTGAGTTACAACAAAATACACGCTTTATGCATTAGAATAAAAGTGGGATATGAAATGTGGGTTATAGTAAATGTTTATGCATCTGGCAGCTAGAAAAATCTAGAGAGAGAGAGAGAGAGAGAGAGAGAGAGAGAGAGAGAGAGAGAGAGAGAGAGAGAGAGAGAGAGAGAGAGAGAGAGAGAGAGAGAGAGAAAGAGAGAAAGAGAGAAAGAGAGAAAGAGAGAAAGAGAGAGAGAAAGAGAGATTTGAAGGAGTTTTGAACTAAGTGAAAGAGCAACTAATTGTTTTGAGTGATATAAATGCTAAAATCGGAGCTACTGTTACAGGCATCAAAGGTAAGTTTGGAGTGCCTGGAGTGAATGATAAAGGAAGGTCTCTTAATGAATTATGTATATGAAAATGTTTGGCTAAACATAATACTTATTTTGTTTTGAAAAAAAAAACGCATAAAATATTTACTAGATATGATGTAGTGCACATTGGAAGCGGTTTGGTAGACATTGTATTGATGCATAAAATATTGGTGGGTTAACTAGCGTTAAGAGGAAAAGAAGGATTGCAGAGGAACGAGCAGGATTTAGGAAGGGTAGATGATGTATATACCAAGTATTTACGTGAAAACTTATAAGTACATAATAATAATGGTAAGAAATTGATTATCACATGAATTAAGAATGAAACAATTGAGAGGTCTGATGGGGATTCAAAGTGGAAAATGATGCAAATGTATGGAAAAAGCAGTACGTTATTACAAGTATATAGCTCAGGTTCATTGTCCTCATCGCCTCCGAGCCGTGTGGACGAGCTGCGCAGACGCTCCTGTTTGAGTTTGTTTTTGCGCAGTTTACCTGATTGAGCTGCCCCTAGCGTTGGTTGGTTTAAACTTAATTTTTTCCAACATGGCGCTGAATAGCAGAAGAAGAATCAACACTGTCTGCATTGAGATGATCCGTGGTGCTGTCACGGGATCCAACATGGATTTATTGTTACCAGCGATCATTCGCGATACCTATGGTATAGCAAATGAGGAGATAAGTGGTGTCGCACTCAATGGAACGACAAGAATCTTCGTTAAAATGACGTCTGCACGAGTCTACGAGGCGGTGGTCGACAAGTATCAGGAGACCATCATAACGGTTAATACAGCTGTGTCGGTGCGACTCCATGATGTATCTCGACATTACACTTGGGTGAAAATAAGGAATGTGCCTTTTGAGGCGACTGATTTTGATATTACCAGTGAACTGCGTACTTATGGGACGGTTCATGTAGCCACAGCAGGGAGATGGGCAACTGGACCGTATGCAGGTGCGCTGGAAGGTTCATATACTGTTAAAATGACTCTTCGACATCCTATTCCTTCATATATTGTTGCGGGGCAACAACGTACATGTCGACTATGTGGGTCATATGACCACATCGCGGCGCAGTGTGGGAAACGAAGTGGGTACCCGGCACAACAGCAACGGCAACAGCAGCAACAGCAGCCAGTGGACGAGGTTGGCGATGAGCGAGAACAGTCTCTTGCTACACCGCCCCAACAACGGTTGTCATGGAGTGAGGAGGTGGACAAAGAAAAGGAGCTCGAATCGCCAGTTGTAACGCTACAAGGAGAATCTCAGTCATTGGACATAAATAAGGTTTTGGAGGAGAGACTACCTAATATGGGTGAAGAAGTGGCGGCATCTTTGGTAAAGGCGTTGGATGACTTATTAGAGGAATCGGTCCTAGATCAGGAGGAAGACCCAGGCTTAGTTCTGGGGACGGCTGTGAATGAAGGTATGGCAGGAGATGACGGTTTGTCGACGAGAGAGTCTACAGGATTGAAGGTGCATGCAGTAGAGGTGGAGGTGCATCAGGACGGTGCTTCAGATGTCAAAATGCAGGTGGAGGGCGGGACACGAAAGAGGACTGCAGCAGCATCGGATTCTGATGATGTGCTCACTCCTGCCCAACGCCCTGGGAAAAAGTCTTGGGTGGAGGTACAGCAGAGAGGGAATGGTGAACCCAAGGATCAAGGGATTGCAAAGGTGATTCCCAATAAAGGGGGGAGGGACAGAGGTGCTGCAAAACGAACTGGGGTAAAGTCAATGCCGGGAACAAAAGGAAAACACATTTGTTGAATTCAAGTGTTTTACTATAAATATTAACGGGTTGAGAGCTGAGAGGAAGCTTAAGTGGTTTAATGAGTATTTGGTGCGACTTGGTGTGGATGTGGTATTCTTACAGGAACATAATTTTAGGCCTGGTTATGAGTTGGATATGAGTGGTTATAATGTGTACATGGAACATGCGACACGTTTGAAAGATGGGGCTGCCATTTTGGTAAAGGAAACTAGCCCGTTTATAGTAAGGCGTAGTGAAGGGGGGGAGGGGAGGGTAATTAGAGTGGATGGAACCTGGGGTAGGGTTCCCATTAGTTTAG